TATTTATATAATATATATTTATATACTATTTATATATGTCATATATTATGTGATTGTATTTATATAATTTATATAAATAATGTAATCTATTGGATGTTTCCTGTTAATAAATAAAGTCATAAAATAGTATAGCATACTTCAGAATTAATCATTAAGGAAACTATTCATTTTACATTTAACCCAAAGCTGTAAATTTAGTTGTCAAAGACATATATTTATGTGCTAATGTTAATAAAACCAACAATAAATTTTCAGATAAAAAAGACACTGGAATAAAGGACATGGGATCTGAGAACATATTTATAATTACTCAAGCAAATGAACAGATACAGTCAACAAAAAAGCCTAAAAGCTAAGGTTTCATCTTCAGCTGTAAATAACGTCAGAGCCAAGGTTTTAGGAAGAAGATATGGATGCTGGGTGGGGGGATCAGGAGGAGGAGGGACTATGTGAAAGGGAGGGAAAGAAGCCAGAGCAGAACTCCCCCAGGAAAACAGTCCATGGGTCTCTGGCAAGGCAGAGAAAGAGCTGTCCACCCCGGAGGAGCCCCTGGCACCACAGTTCTGAGCCATGCAGTGATCTCTAAGAGCAAGGGGTGAGACTCAGAGGTCACAAGTGCGGGAGGAAAGTTATCTCAGGCATGACTTAAAGATCCAAGCAGCCCTAGTATTCTGAGCAGGCAACTGACTCAGAATCTACTAAGAATCAAAACATCCAGAAAGAAGAGGGCAAGATCAGGACGTTTGGGATACAAAAAAGGCAGGCAGCTCTAGGGACATGGGGTGCTTGCTTAGAACAAGGGCTTGAGATTCCAACAGACCTTTTTATTTTTTTATTTTTTACATTTTTTTCAATGTTTATTTTTGAGAGACGGAGCGTGAGTGGGGAAGGGGCAGAGAGAGGGAGACACAGAATCCGAAACGGGCTTCAGGCTCTGGGCCCTCAGCACAGAGCCCAATGCAGGGATCAAACCCACGAACTGTGAGATCATGACCTGAGCCGAAGTCAGACGCATAACTGACTGAGCCCCCCAGGCACCCTCCAACAGCCTTTTTTAAACTCCTGTCTCTGCCACTTGTACGAGCTACTTAAAATCTTGAGATTTAGTCTTCTTTCATGTGAGACTTGAGCAGTTTAGTACTGGCTTCGAAGGCCTACTGTGAACAATGATGGAGCTAATGCAGGTAAATTGCCTAGCAGGGTCCTTGGCATAAGCTTAGTTCTTAAGAAAATATTTGTTGATGGATTGTTGATTATGGATTGAAAGTCTGCCTCGCTCAGAGAGAGAACCAACTGTGAAATTTCCAAAGTGTCTTGAGATGAGAATAGTCAACAGAGGTTAATTAGCCTCATCAGCCGACTATTTTCTCTTAAAAGTGATCTTTTCTAACCCTGAAAATGGCAGAGGGAGATGGAAAAAATACAAAGTGCAAACTGCCCAATAAACTCTTCCTTCGGGTCATCAGTGAATAAGAGTGACGTGGCAATGGTCTTCCTATGTTAAAAGATGAAAACTATGCACACTGAGGCAGATTTGGACTCAATTTTAGAAGAATCTTTTAACAGGCTGAGGTGTTTTTAATGGTGATGAGCTCTCCGTCAGTAGCCAAGGCTCCCTGTAGAAATTATCATAAAGGCGCTGCCTGAATTCAGTGAAACTAGTGGTCCTGAAACACTGGTCTGGACATCTGTGTCCAAATCACATGCCCTCCACTGTTTCTGCATATCTACAATACAGATTTCTGAGCCTCACTTCCTATATATTCTAATACAGGTCTATAGGGGCTCTGGGAATTTGTGTTTATTGTATTTTAACTGTTTACGTAAATGAGATGCACAGTCAAATTTGGAAGCCAGTCCTCTAGATAATAGCTAGCTTCCAATCTTGCTTATGCTGACTAAGTTTGAGAATCTCTGGGCCATTTCTATGTAATCAAAATAAATAACATTTTAAGCCGCTGGATTTGAATGCTGGAGATAACCTATATGTAAACATTAATCAAGCAATACACAGTCACAGAGAACGTACAATACATAGACATTGAAGTGGGGGCCGCCTAATAGTGACTATATGGCTAAAATTCAATTTTCTGGCTAAATAACTGGTTTGATTTAATTAGGTGCCGAGGAGTCGAGTAAATTTTTCCCAACTAAATTGTTTAGACCACCTGGCCTCATTTCTAATTAGTATCCGTTCTGGGTGCTTCCAATTGCATGAATGTAGCATATGCTTTGAAATTTCTCCCACTCTCGAAATAAAAATAATTTTAATTTATATGAGTTTTTAGAATTCTTTTTTTAATTGTTGCTTACCTTTTCCAGTTGAAAATCACATTTTTTTTCCCTCTCCCTTTGTCTCTTCTTTTTTTTTTCCTTTCTGGTCGTCACTTCTGTTTTGCCTTTATTTATTTATTCATTTATTTATTTATTTAGCTAGTTATTTATCTTCTGTACTTGGAGGTGCTGGAGGTGTGATTTGTAGATTATGCAACCTCTCAATCCCTTTCCATGGATGTCTTTTGGATTTTGGAACCTGCAAAACAAAACCTGGTCAGTACTGCATAAAAGAGATTCACGTGAAAGGTAAGTCTTGACACTTAAAAATATATATATATGAAAATGACGACAGGAAAAAATCCTTATATAAAAGCAAACATCAGTAAACATTTACTATGTGCCAGATGCTGTCCTAAGGGCCTTAACCTGGATGACATATACCAACAAAACAATGACATGGGCTTGATCTTGTCACTACCCCCATTTTAAAGATGAGAAATCTGAGGCATTGGAAGATTAAGACATGTGCATGGTGTCACACAGCTGATGAGTATTGGAGGCAAGATTCAAATTCAAGTGAATGTCTATACTGCCTCATTCACACCACTCACATCCTCACAAAAAATTAGTAATAGTTTGCAGGGCCCTCCTAAGCACAGAGACTGTACAAGTGCACAGGTGACATGCCTAGGACGCCAGCCTTGTCTGCAGAGGTTAAAGGGTAAGTGCAAACGTCCAAACGATGACAACATTAGAAGAAAATACCGAAGAAGACTGAAAGAGAGGAGGCCTCTTGAACATCCAAAAGACCTACGTTGTAAAGGAAATGAAAGATAAATTTGAATACTTCAATATTTTAAGACCTATAAAATGAACGACAACCCCCAAAATTTAAAGATAAAGAATAAACTGGATGCAAATAGTTGGAATATAAATAACAGAAAAAAAGATTCCAGTGATAATTTAGATTAGGTTAGCAATTTTTTAGACAATTTGGGAATTTCCATTGAAATTTTAAATGAACACAGCCTTCTACAAAGCAATTGTATTTCTTGATATCTACTGCAGTAAAATATTCACATGTAATGCAAAAAAGCATGATTATCAAGGTTATCCCTCAATATTATATTTAATTGTAAAGTAATGGAAATGACCTAAATGTTGATCTATGGGCGAAGTGTTCTTCAAACTATGATGTAAGGATGCCTGGGTGGTTCAGTTGGTTGAACATCAGACTCTTGATTTCAGCTCAGGCCATGATCTCAGGGTTGTGGAATCGAGCCCTGTGTCGAGCTCTGCCTTGGGTGTGGAACCTGCTTAGGATTTGCTCTCCCTTTCCCTCTGCTCCTCTCCCCAGATTGGGTACTGTCTCTCTCAATAAACAAACAAATAAACAAACTGAGATGTATATTCAGGCTATGGAATGTTATGCAACACTTACATGAACTAGATCCCTTTGTTAACATGGGAACAATCTCTAAGACATTCTTGAGCAGAAGAAAGGCAGTTGCAGAACAGTAGGCATGGAATACCAACCGTGAATAAACATCTCCACAAGGCAAAACTCTAAATTCCTCTATGGAGTTGGAAGGAGAAAAGAAAAAGTTAGAGATCAAAGTTAGTTGGGAGAGAGGAAGAGAACTTGGGGGTCCCACGTGATGGGTTTTGGTATTAAGAGGGTTATTTGTGCTTATTCAGTCCACTCTCTAAGCCCCGTGTTCCCTCTGGCTCATGCCTCTGCCGGTCAGAGCCCCTTCCTTCTAGAAGGGGAGAGGTGCCAGGGACCCCTGGAGCCATGAGATGTTGGCTCCCAGTGATTGCTCTTGTCTTTCAAAATGTGGACACATACTCACTCATCAAGGCAGCTGAACTTCAGAACAAGTGCCAAAGGTCTCTGCACATGAGTCTGGAGGCTGATGTGTCAAAATATTGACAATGGCTCTTGACCGGTCAAGGACCCAGTCTGACTCCAGTGTCGTGGGCACAGCAGTTTCCTAACTCGCAAATTTTGTCGTGAAAAAAATAGAACTGGAACACTTTGAGAGCTTTATTAACAGGGTTTCTCACCCTTGACACTATTAACACTTTGGCAGGATAGTTCATTGTTATGCAGGGCTATATTATGGACCGTAGGAGGTTTAGCATGTCACTCCATGCAAGTAAGATCTTCCAAGTTGTAACAACAAAAATGTTTCTGGGCATTATCTACTGTCCTGGAGGTGGGAGGCAAAATTGCCCCTGGTTGAGTGACTACTGTTTTGAGAAGTTTCCAACCATTACACGTTTGGCTGCCTTTGGGAACTGCCCCTTCGTGTTCTCCCTTCATACACGTGGAAGGCGGTGGGGGGCGGGGGGAGGAGGCTGGGCAGGATTACAGGACAACACTATCCCTTATTTTGCACTTGTGTTTATTTTTCACATTTTGTGCAGTGAACATGCATTACTTCCAAAATCAGGGTGAAAATTAAACGAAGTCAAGGACACACTTCCCTTTCTGAGAAGCACTTACACATCCAAATGATCCTTCTGTGGATTAAGCCCTTTGAATAACTCATGACCTGGGTTAAGCTGGGGAATGATAATGGAAGCTAACACTTCAGAAAGTTTTACAAGTCAGTGGCAATTGCACGGGTTTTATCATCTGAAATTGAAACCTATTTTGCTTTCAAATTTGAAAGCTACTGTACTGCAATGTAGCTAACTAGAATACATTTAGGTGGGAGTTCTTAAAGACAAAATGTATCTTCATAAACCTAGAAGTTTTGCTTTGTCTTTGTTTCTTTTGTTTGTTTGTTTATTTTTGAGAGAGAGAAAGAGAGCCCACGGGAGGGGCAGAGAGGGGAACAGAGGATCTGAAGTGCACCCTGTGCTGACAGCAGAGAGCCCAAAGCAGGGCTCAGACCCACAAACCCTGAGATCATGACCTGATCCAAAGTCAGATGCTTAACCGACTGAGCCACCCAGGAACCCTGTTACTTTTTTTTTTTTTTTAACCTGTTAGTTTGAAGCATCTAAGCCAGGTAGGTTGCACTTCACAAGGAATTTCCTTACCCTACCCCCTCCCCCCAACATGGGGCTTGAACCCCATGATAGATTTACAACCCCAAGATAGATTTGCATGCTGTACTGACTGGGCCAGCCGGGCACCCCAACCCTACCTCTTTTGTTTCCCTCAGGTGGAATTCAGTGGTATGCCATTCAAGGTTGCACAGAGACCCAAGATGAGTGCTTCAAGAGAATAACAAAGCCTTCTGGAATTCTCTCTACTCACTGTTGCCTTTATACCTTGTGCAATCTTTGAGCCAGTGGCCCATTTCCAAGTTGTTTGACTGATCAACTGCCTCAGAGTCTGATCTGATCATCACAAGACAACAGGCTGCCATTAATCCACCCTCTGCAAAACACCTCCTATCTCTGCAGGTGATACGAGTTGTGGTCTAAAACCAGTTCTGGTTTTCAAGGTGCCCCCCTTCTTCCCCACCACCTCCAACTTCTCCCAGAAACATCCTTTTTCAACACTATGTCTCTCCTCTCCTCTTTCTGCTCAGTTCCCTTTCTGGTGACTTCAAAGCTACAAAGAAGTAAAAACGTATTTCCCTGAGGCAAATAATGCATATCGTCTCTAGTTTACTGGTTTCCTTAAATATTTCCGCATTCCGAAATACAGTTACAAATGGATTGTATTACAAGATACCAAGGGACCTCAGAATGTTCATTTGGCTTCCAAAGCAAACTGCCTTGTTTTTGGGGAGTAATTTATGGCATAGGAGGAACTGATTTAACAAATTCCATAGGAAAAATAAGTCACAAATAAGCAAACCAGGCCTGTGAGATCTATGAGCCCAAATGCAAAGAGCTCTGGCAGGTGTGAGAGTTGACACTTATTTT